AAAAAATCACAGTAGGATAGTTTTCTGGATACAGCTAAAAATGAAATTTCACCTAATTAAAGTTTGTTTGCTAAAATACAAATATCTCCGGCTGTAATGAAGCTATATCAATTATTTTAATGACAAATTAAAAGTGAAAAAATTTACATTCGATCAACTGAATACTATTTTTCAGTGAGATTAGTGGTATTGTTGGCACAACCACTACAAACATTTGTATTTACCTTACTTAAAAACATTGCTGAAATCAAATTTTCTTGAAGATATGCAAAACATAAAAAAATAAACAAATTATTAATTAACAACAATGCCACTAATCTTTCTGACGAATGCTGTTCAACTGATCCAAAAACAAAAATTCGCTCCTTTCAAATCAATTCTAATAATTGATATAGCTTCATTACAGGCGGAGATATTTGTGTTTTAGTAAGTGAAATTTCATTTATTTAGCTGTATCTAGAAAACTATCTTACTGAGATTTCTTTTCTGACTACATTTTTGGATTCACGATTGTACATAAGAATCATGGGTCAAACATTGAAGTTCATTTTGGTAATTTAGTGTAATCGAAAAAAAAAATATTAAAAAATAATTCTAAATAAAATTTCAAAAGATTTATCCTGTTTTGAATAGAGTTAAAATGAAATTTTGAAAAGAATTTCAAAGGAATCAAAATCTCCGTTCAAGGGAATTCTAAGAAAGATTCCAATCAAGTTCAAATGTTTTCAAGGAAATTCCAAAAAGAATTCAACTTTTACGCAGTGTTTTACGCAGTGTTTTCTGGTTAATTCTGGAATTCATATCATGAGAATTTTGAATTACGAAAAATTAAAACCTCGGAAAAGAATAGTTCAGTTTCGGATTTTACAAATATCCAAAGTCCAGCATCTTTAATATTTTCTTTTAAGGTCCATGCACTTTACATCTGAAATTGAAAAGACAAAAAACAAATTGTAATTTTGCTGAGTGATTTAATTCAAAAACAATATGACGGGAGACTGAAGGAAATTATGTAGTTAACCATTAAATAATTCTGAAATTCTGGTGTAAAAATTTGTTTCTATGGTATGATTAATTTATTTTTCCCAATTCTTCCATCGAATTCCCAGATCCCAAGGCATCCATGGATCCAGGGGATCCAAGAACAATCGCCATCGAATACAGTTTTCCTCTGGATACCGGGTCACTGCGACATCAGAGGTAACTGTGAAGCAGATAATCTGGCAGCTACCGTCCGCTCTGGCCGACTCTTCAGTAAAGAGGTCCCTGGTCCTGACATTAAGCGCTGGGTCGGGGTCATTATCCGCGACGCCTGGAACCTTGAGTGGGCTTCCACAAGGCAATCTTTTATTCGAAAGTTGAAAGGGGAGACTTCCAAATGGCAAAACACTCCAAGTCGACAAGACCACGTCATATTGTCTCGAGTTAGTTCCGGGCACACACGTGCAACACACAACATCGGCTGCTCCTCCAATTTCCGGAAAACTTGGGACACTTGCAACCTTACCATGACAATGGAACACATATTGGTGGATTTCCCAGCGTTCAGCAATTTAAGAAGTCTTTACGGTATACTAAATAGCATAAGGAACGCCCAATCGAATGACCCATCAGCCAAAGCTGGTCATCTGCTCATTAAAGTCGCCAAACTTTACAAAAGTATTAAACCCCAAGGACTGACACGATCACCAATAACCCGCTATTGACACTGACTATCGACACCCTCAACAAAATTTCTACTATGTTTAACTAAGCCAGCAACTACGACACTACTCAGCGACCCTAGCAGCACACTTGTCACAAAACGGTTGTAGTAACTCCTATGCGACTTATTCCGGTCATAATCAAGTTACCGCAACTTTTTGAGACGGAAGTGTGTTGCTTGGGTATTATATTTGTACTCTTGTTTAAACCACTCTGTGTTTGAGGACTTCGCTCAGGAGCCCTATACCCTATAAAAAAAACTTTGTATTAGGGAAACCTTCCTCCGAGGCCCACCTTCTTGTTGGGAACCCCCTTCTAGAGCCCGGAATACTCAACTTTGCTAATTGAGGCATCCCCTTCTGGGGTTCCCAGAGATGAACCAGCCGACGGCTGAAAGTCTCTTTAATAAAGAAAGATTAGATAAGGTTGCAGAACACATCTTCACAGAGGACCACCAACTATCGACGGAGAACATCACGATTTTACGAACCGTATCTACACCATGGAAATTAGATGTTGCAGAGAGCCTCGAGATCAACAAACAACGGAATACAATTTTACTCAACAGGGATCAAGGAAACGGACACACATCAGCAGTTCCATTTCAAATGACGATTTGTTTTTTTTTAATTTTTCGATCGACCTTCTACGATAGTATTGAAACTTTGCACAGTTGTTTGTTATTGTCCAACATACTTGGTTCCCTAGTTTTGTACACGACTAACACTTGAAAAGGGCTTATGCAAAAATGATACGCATCAATGGAAAAACATATATCTTGCGAACGATTTGTTTGATTGAGATGCTGTCTTGGAAGAAGTTGCGGGCAAGTATTGTGCCTTTCATATACACTGTAAAAAATATAATTTTTGAACAAAAAAAAATCAAAATTATCAAAAAAAATAAAATTACTCAAATTGCGTATTTTTTTTAAATTATTTTTTTGTAGTTTAGATAAAGTAATACCTACTGACACTGTGTATTTGCTGGGAAAATCATAAACAAAAAAGTTATGAATTATTGAAAAAATAAGTATTTTCCAAAATACCACCTACGGTTATCGAATATCTTTGAAATAGTGTTAATATTAAAATACATCCAATTTACAACAAAAAAGGTCATAATGCTTAAATTGTCCAAAGTTGTTATTTTCGAGATACTTTAAAATTCACTTATCGCATATTTTAAGAAATTTTCGCCTTTTTGAGATGTTTACTCAAATTGCATATATCTTTAAAATATTTTTTTTTAGGTTTATTTTGTAGCTTAGGTAAAGAAACACCTATTGACACTGGGCAAATCATGAACAAAAAAGTTATGAATTATTGATAAAATAAGTATTTTTTCAAAATACTACCAATAGTTATCGAATATCTTTAAAATAGTGTTAATATTAAAACACATTAAATTTACAACAAAAGAGCTCATAATGCTTAAAGTGTCCAAAGTTGTTATTTTCGAGATACTCGTAGGTTAAAAAATTCACTTATCGCATAATTTGAGCAATTTTCGCTCTTTTGAGATGTTATTCGTTAGTGTTCAATCTTGAAAATATTTTTAACAAAAAGCCCAATTAATTTCCTTAAGCTTTGCTGTTCACAGTTTTTTAATCATACGCACGACGAATTTAAAAAAAAACCATTTCAAACAACACACTTTAAAAGTTTGTTCAGTTTCAATGGATTGAAAATCTATTGATAAATTACTGAGCAATGATTTTTCAAACATTGCCAAATTGCCGTTACACATTTCACCGAAGGCATCATATTCGAAGTGTTAACAACACTTCGTAAAACTATTTTATTGAATAGACAATAATAGTCACTGACATTTCCGGGGTGTAGATTTAGAATAAACAATACTAAATTTATAACTACAAGTTTGACGAGGTTTGATTGCACGTTGTCACAAATCCTTACTGACCTGCTTAACACTTGAAAGTAGTTCAATGTTGCAGTAATGCACATTCATACCGGTTTCGCCCAAACGACGTTAAATCTGCCTCCGTTTGGACTCTTCTCAATGGCAACACACAGTCCAGTTGGAGTAGCGGTACCCAATGCGACTGCGACACAATAAATGCCGTTTATTTTCAAGATTAAACAGATAGTTTCTGAACAAGCACCAAACAGTTCCGGTTCCCGAAAATTTAGTTCCATTTTTAACATATTTACGTGCAAGTAAACACACGCCTGAACGACCCTTGTTGTTGAAGAAGACTCATACGGAAACGAACAATTTAAGGTGTTGTTCAATCAAAAACTGAAAGTGCGCTGCTCCGCGTGCAATATACAGCCTCGATAAATGATCTGGGTCATGTTTCTCGTTTCCTATTTTAACATTCAGTGTACAACATACGTGCCTCGATTGGAACTGGAATGAGGAGAGCGACTGATGTGGAATCAGATGATGACCCAAGCAGCAGTGAACAGATTAAAAGTTAAGGTGTCTCCCGATAGCCAAGTCAGTAAAATGACTTGCAGGAGGCGACGGGTTCGATTATCGATCCGTTCATAGGTTGGAAAATTGCTCGGCATCCCTCTGTACAGAGTATCATTCTGCTAGCCACACAATATGCAACACATATTATAGACAAAGAACCAAGCTGAAGGCAGGCACTAAGTTCCATTTGGGACGTAACAGCGAAAGGAGAAGGAGATTTAAGGTAACAAATAATTCGATTGAAATTACATGAACCGTCCGTGCACGGATCATCAGATCTAATTGATGGTGATGGGAAAGGTATTCTTTGATCTGAAAAAGGTCGACTAAGCAAAACTACTTGCGATTCCATCATTCATTTTTACTCGAGAAGCCATGATCAGCACATGAGATCGCACAGTGACACATGAAAGCCGATTTGGCGTATCATTTCCGGCATTAGAGTCGGGATGAAGCCGAAAACAATCACAGAGACGATTTGAAACACCTCACCGCCGCCGTGACGTTGCAAAAACCTGGGGCCTCATTGCGCAAGTCGAAACGAAGCATTTTTCTATGAACGCTTGTATGAAAACGTTTGTCGTTTCGAATTGCGAAATGAGGCCCCCCTGCGGTTTAATCTTTTCCAATCGGTGATCTTTGAGCCGTTCAATTTACCTTTGCTCTTCAGATTATTACAGCGAATTTGGTCATTAGATCTGGTGCGCAATGACGCAAATATTTCGCGTGAAAAATCGACCCATCAAGTCGAAAAGGACCTGCAAAAACCGAAACCAGTTCTTCCGAGCTGGAATCCCGATCTCAGCAGCAACAGCAACAGCAAAGCAGAAACTCTGTGTTCCGTATTGATCAGTCGCGCATAATGACTCGATCAGGCGGGTCCCATTGCCAAACGGTGCTGCTGCTAGTGCTGGTGACGATCACGATCGTCGCAAGTAGAGCAGCAAAACAGGCCACCAGTTCCGATCGGAGCCGTACCGTATGTATTCCCAACATTTGGCGAAATGGTTAATCTTCATTTCTTTTATTATTTTTTCACAGGAGGACTATATCACGCAGTACGAGATCAACACGGAACGGTACCGAGTGACCACAGAAGATGGCTACCAGTTGATAGTTTACCGATTGTTACCGCAGGTCCCAACCAAAGGCGCCGTCGTGCTACAACATGGTATCCGACAGTCCTCCGCCGATTGGTTGATGTTGGATAATAATCTTCCGATGCAGCTTCTGTCTACCGGCATGGAAGTTTGGCTGGGGAACTCTCGAGCCTCACCGGAGTCTGCCGATCACACTAAATTTAGCAAAACTTCGGCCAAATATTGGGAGTTTAGCTTTCACGAAATTGGCTACTACGACCTAGCCGCCATTACGGATGCCGCCCTCCAAATCAGCCAGCGGAAGCAGATCCACATGGTCGCCTTCTCGGAGGGATCTACGGCTACCTTGACACTCCTCGCGCAACGTCCAGAGTATAACGATAAGATCACCTCTCTGAACCTGCTCGCACCTGCAGCCATCATGGGCAACAGCCAATTCAAGCTAGTGTCCCTGCTGTTCGACAAAATCCAAGTCATTTTCCCGTGGAAAATCACACAAATACTCTCCAACAACAATCAATTGTCGAACAACTCACAAAAACAACTCGAACACTTTCAACAGCTGATCCTGTCCGGCCGCTTCCGCCAGTACGATCACGGCCAACGAGAAAACATTCAACGGTACGGTACCCCGGAACCCCCGGACTACCCCCTGTGGCGAATCACACGACCGGTAGTCCTTCACTACGGCGGAAGAGATACGACCGTCCACCCAAGGGACGTCGAACAACTCAGCACCCAGTTCCCGAAGACCAGCCAAGTTCAATTGATCGAGTACGACAAGCTGGATCATAATGATTTCCTGACGCGATCAGATGCCGCCAGTGACGTGTATCCCATGGTCGTGGAATCCGTTATGAAGCGGCTCCAGTGAATTAGAGCGAAAAACCAAAACACAGATGTAAGCGGATAGCGACCGATAGAGAATAAGTGAGAGTGCGTGAATAAATTATTAAATGAGGAAGTGTTTGACGTGGTTTTTCAAAACCAGTTTGAGAGAATTCCGTTTGACGCAAAATAAGGAAAATTAGCTTAGTTTTGGGGGCTCGCACGGGGTTTGATTTTGCACGCGGAGTTAATATTGAATTCAAATGCTAATCATTGCTCTCTGGAAGTAAACCAGTTTAGTCACTGATCACTCCGGTCGTGGAATCTTTGGTGGGAACCACTTTTTGAATTTAGTGTATTCTAAATTGAGTACACTGATACACCGCGAGCAGAACGATTTCCGGATTACGGATCGAGGCATTGTTTTTGTTTGCGAGCAAAAGTGGGGGGCCAAAATTAACGACCGATAATTTATGACCGATCGTCGACTTATGTGATTCACATAATATTTTCTGGGGGACATCCTACATGGGATGCTGGAAGGAGATTCTTCTATCCCCCGCAAACTTTACGGAAGTGTCTTAGGTCTTAGGAATTCTCTTTCGGAATCGTTTGCACATCTCGTCTGCGTAGCCGGCGCCGGTGGTGTAGTGGTAAGCATGACTGATTTCTCACCCAAATGGGTCTTGGTTCAATCCCAGCCGAGGTCGATGGGATTTTTCTGAGGCATAAAAGTCTCTGGTCACGTCTTCCTTCGGAAGGAAAGTAATGCCGTTGGTCCCGACCCATGTGTGTTGAATGGGTGCGATATCGTAAGTAGTCAATGGATGGCAATCGATGTCCGTTGGTGATTGGAACTAGATTGCGGAACAGAGACTGACGTTAAATAATGGAAAGAATCTCGTCTGCATATGGTATGGCCATATAGCTCTGTTGACGTAGTTTTGAGTGCCGTTGATCATATTTCGTCGAGTAGATGTGATTTGAAATGTTACGTGATATGATTCCAAAGGATACGAAATTCGATCATACGGAACCATAATTCGGAATATCTGTAACCGGTTCCACAGTGGCCCTATGGCTCTATTGTTGTTGTTTTGAGTGCCATTGATCATATTTCGTTGAGTAGATATGATTTGATATGTTGTTTGGTATGGTTATGAGCGATATCAAATTTGACCGTACAGAACCATAATCCGGAATATCCGGAACCGGTTCTATGGTAGCCATATGGCTCTATAATTGTTGTTTTGAGTGCCATTGGTCATATTTCGTCGAGTAGATGTGATTTGATATGTCGCTTGGTATGGTTATGAGCGATATCAAATTTGACCATACAGAACCATAATGCGGAATATCCGTAACCGGTTTTACGGTGGCCTTAGGGCTCTGTTGACGTCGTTTTGAGTGCCATTTGTCATATTTCGTCGAGTAGATGTGATTTGATATTTCGCTTGATATAATTAAGTGAGATTTCAAATTTGACCATGTGGAACCATAATCCGGAAGATCTGGACCGGTTTCACGGTGGCCATATGGCTCTGTGGACGTCGTTCTGAGTGCCATTGGTCATATTTCGTCAAGTAGATGTGATTTTATATGTTGGTTGATATTGTTATGACAGACAATACATTTGACCATATGGAACCATAATCCGGAACATCCGGAACCGATTCCATGGTAGGCATGTGATCTTATGAATGTTCTCTATCATTTCCGGGAGTTCCACGAAAAAAAACAATGTGTTGTCGCGATGATATGTAAATATATGATGATAAAGATTGAAAAAACACCCCCTTGCCAACACATTCTTGTATATATAGAAAAGAGGGAGGGTCCTGGGGGGAGTACCACCCAACAAATGTAAGAACCACTCACCGGAATGATGTTAAAAAAAATTCATTTTAATCGGCTATGGCATCTCTGAGATACAATTTTTTGCAAATAAAAAGTTTGTCCCGGGCTTTTACTGGTTAAGGTGAAAGTGACCCGAGCAAAGCTGAAGATCAAATTGAAATCAAAATTTGCTGTTATGATGTAACTTATTTTGAATACTCCAGTTGATCTCATTTTGGTTGACTTAACGGTTAACACAGCAAAAATGAGAGCAAAATTTCACACTGTTGAAGCAAACGGAAAACTAATCCTGCTTTCAATGAAATCAATTTGATTACTGATTTTGCATTCATAATGTTTAACTGAATACGGGCCTAGAGTAAATGGTTACCATTCATGTTTCTCAAGCTGAAAGACTTGGGCTCCAATCTCACCGCGGGCAAGTCACGAATGACCTAAAATGTGTTAAACAAATCAGATAAACGATAATCATTAGTTCAACGACAGATGAATTTCAATTAAATTTCAAACAAGACGTAAACAGCAGAACTTCAAGTTAAGTTGCTTTCATTTAAAATGCTTGACTGCATAATGAAAGCACAATATGATATCAGACTTATGTCGCAACATTTGAAATCAAAATGAGTTTTCATTATGATAGGAACTGCACACTTTAATATCGATTTGCTTTCATTTTGTTAACCGACTTTGCTCGGGGATCTAGTGGGTAAATAAAAATTCAAAAATGGTTTTCTCTGAGACATAATTTCATATTGCAAATGGCTCTCATCGATGTTTTTAGTTTTTTCGCAATCTGAAGTGATGTCTCAGAGAATACCATTTTTGACATATTTATTTACTCACTAGGTCACTTCCCTTCATACAGCAACAAGTTGAGTATAGTTTGGCTAGTGAGACTTGATCTATTCGTTCTGTTATTATTTGATATTTAGACGGTGGTGTCTTCGGTGAAGTTTTTGTGCTTTCATTTGGTGTAAACATTAGAGTGGTCCTCAAATCAATTTATGTTCAAAAACTAACTAACTTATTTTTGATCATAATGACACATTTTCTTCAGCAGAGTTATGGCTGAGTTAAATTCCAACAACTTTGTTGTAGTAACATTTTATTCTATCTATTTTTTTTTCCTTTGGTTTGTTTTCCGTCGATCTTGTTTTCCGTGCTGAGCATCAATGCTACCGACGCCAGGGAGGCAGCTCCCACACCTGGACCCTACCTATCGAACCATCAACTCATGAACCGGGGACCAACGGCTTTACTTCCCTTCCAAAGGAAGGCGTGATCAGAGATGTTATGCCTCAGAACATCCCGGCGGCGCCGACTGGGATTGAACTCAGAACTACTGCGATGAGAGGAAATCACGCTTACCACTACACCAATGGCACCGCTCGCTAAAAATATTCTATTTATCAGGAGGAATTTCTTGCTAAAATATTCCAATCGCGAGGTATTCGCGATCAATCATATAAATTCGATATTTTTTTTGCTTTTTCTAGCTTCCTGGAAAAAACTCTACCAAAATTCGAAGTGTTTCTGGTTAGTTGACAACGTCATGTGGTATTCGGTCATTGCGAGAATTTGTATGTACCACTTCAATACTGCAACGCATTTGACCGCAAACGTTTGGCTACTAGGTACTTTATCGAAGAGCTTTGGGGGCTGGCAGCAAGGTGAGCGAACGTTCAATTAAAATTAACTTTTAAGCAACAATAATTTATGGTGGTCCTGAAAAGAACCGTTTTGTTGTGATGAGTTATTAGGGTGTTCAACACGGATGAGGCTGGCGAGCAGTATGTTGTTTAGAACGAGGGTGACGTGCTTGGCCTAGATGGCGCACAGCGGTTCAGAACGAGCAACTGAATCCGATCAGTAGCGGTGTGGCTTCTTCCTCCTTCTTCGGTGAATCGAGGGCTTTTGAAGGCAGCTAGCTATCAAAGCTGCTAGCGGGGAGTCATTCGTTGTGTACTGGAGAAAATGTATAAGCACTGCTGCTGCTGCTGCTGCTGATGACGACCGGATACCACCACTCACCACAAGCGGTGATTGAATAAACACCGTTCGGCGAGACTGGTTGGAATTCGATTTTGAAATCTCTGTTAGGGAAAGCGCTTTTTGCAGACAATCGGTGATATTTTTAATTATTATAGAAACAGTTGCACATTCGTGCTATTTTCAAAAGTGACCTTTTGAAAATTGATAAAGTGTTTCAAATTTCCAATCGATTGGCTAGTTTAGAATTAAAATCCATTCGCTATTGACAAAGTTGTAAGTGATCAAAACCTGACCACTTTTTGTAACGCGTTCGATTTTGGTTTTTTGAAATTGCACTCCCAATATGCTGCCGAATCATTCCTCCACCATTTGTCCATTCAAATTCAATTTTTCAATTCCGGGTTTTTTCCCGGTTATTAAAAAAAAAATAAAAAAACTAACGGCGCCGGTGGTGTAGTGGTAAGCGTGATTACCTCTTACCCCAGCAGGCCTGGGTTCAATCCCAGTCGGCGCCGCCGGGATGTTCTGAGGCATAACATCTCTGATCACGCCTTCCTTCGGATGGGAAGTAAAGCCGTTGGTCCCCGGTTCATGAGTTGATGGGTCGATAGGTAGGGTCCAGGTGTGGGAGCTGCCTTCCTGGCACGTCGGTAGCATTGGTGCTCAGCACGGAAAACAAGATCGACGGAAAAAACAAACCAAAGGAAAAAAAAAAAATTAAAAAAAACTCTACCTTAAACAAAAAAGACGTTCAAAAATAACCCTTTAGAGATAATGATAAAATTTATTCAGCAGAAGGCTGACAGTGGGTTATACAATAGTATTGACTACAATAACGAAAAAAGTTACCAAATAGTGACTTTAAAACAATAAAAAAGGGACCAATAGTGCCATTTGTTGATCGGAAAGATATTGAAGATATTAATCTAATCTGTAGTTGAATGCGGTCCGCTGTGACAAATATTATAAATTCTTAAACCATCATGAGCATTTTACAAGCTTTTTTTTTTTTTAAATAAAATAAATGGTTGAAGAATCTTATAAATTTGTTTTCGTAAAATAAGAAGTAATTGGTAAGCTCCATTTCCTCACACAGTAATCATTTTTCTGCCACGATTTTTTGAAACCAACCGTTGAATAAGTTGAATTTAGATACAGATCGCGAATTTGGTTGAATTTCGGGATGTGAAAGATTGAACATAGAAATTTATTAAGAAATCTTAAAATTGAAAAAAAAATTGAGGCGCAGGGAAAAATGCTCAACGTCTTGGACAAATCGTCACTTTAAGACAAGCAATTTTAAAGATCTCGAACATAGAAACTTCTGTAAAACTTCAAACATAGACAAACTTTCATATCTCTGGAATCTAGAAAAGTGTTCTGGATCGTATCAATAATTATCATTATTCTGGAACAGGGAAAATTTTCTCGAAAAAGTTGTAAGATTCTGCTA